CCCCCTAGTCTCCTCCCTGCGTCTCACCAGGTGGTTCCGTCCCCTCAGGTTGTCGCGTCCAGTCCAGTCGCTGCGTCTTGCTCCTGTCGGTCGCTTGCCCACCCCACCGTTCTGTGGCACCACCGGATGGGACACCCTTCTCTTCCACGTCTGCGTGCTATGTCTAGTCAGCGTCTGGTCTTAGGTCTCCCGCGTGTCTTGCCGTCGCTGCCGCCGTCCCTTGCACCACCGTGCGGTCCTTGCGTCGAGGGTAGGCTGCGTGCCACCCCTCACTCCTCCTCCCTTCGTCCGGCCACCGAGCCTTTTGAGACGCTGCACTTGGACGTCTGGGGCCCCTCTCCTCGCCCTGGCCCTGAGCGTGAGCGTTTCTTTTTGGTGGTCGTTGACGACTACTCCCGCTACACCACAGTGTTCCCCCTGGCGAGGAAGTCTGAGGTGACTTCTACGCTGATCAGGTGGTTGCTTACCACCCAGGACACTCGTGGTCGTCGTGTCAGCTGTCTCCACTCCGACCGCGGGGGCGAGTTTCGCTCCGGCATTCTCGCTGGATTCTGTCGCGAACAGGGCATTCGTCAGTCCTGGACGCTTCCGGAGTCCCCACAGCAGAATGGGGTTGCTGAGCGTCGCATAGGCCTGGTCATGGAGATTGCCCGCACCTCCTTGACTCACGCCCGTGCCCCCCATTTCCTGTGGCCATACGCAGTCAGGTACGCCGCGCACCAGCTGAACCTCTGGCCACGCGTCTCTCGGCCGGAGGCTTCACCGACCAGTCTTTGGACAGGGTCCCCTGGTGTCGCGTCGAGGTTTCGTGTCTGGGGGTGCTTGGCTCTTGTCCGCGACACCTCCGCGGACAAGCTCTCGCCTCGCGCCGTTCCTTGTGTCTTCCTTGGTTTCCCTGAGGACTCCTCTGACTTCACCTTTTACCACCCTCCCTCTCACCGGTTCTTTGACTCCCGTGACGTCCGTTTCGAGGAGTCCACCCCGTACTACGTCAGGTACCCCAGTCGAGGTCTCCCGGTTCCTCCTCCCCCCCTCTTCCTGACAGCCGCTCCCCCGCCTGCTCCCCCGGTACAGCCTCCCCCCCCTGGTCCAGCCCCGTCTGGTGTGTCTCAGGCTAGCCCTCCCCCTTCGGTAGCCCCCCCTGTACAGCCTCCCTCCCCACAGTCTTCCTCACCGCCTCCTGTAGGTGCTCCCTCTCGGGAGGTTGGTCCTGCGACTGTCCCTGTACAGGTCTCTGGTTCTGGGGGTGCTGGAGTTGGAGCTGAGCCGCGGGTTGCAGAGGACTCTTGTCTTCCGGGGGCTGGTACTGGTCGTGCGGAGTCTGGGGGTGCTGGTGCGGAGTCTGGGGGTGCTGCGTCTGGGGGTGAGGGTGTCCCTTCGGTTTCTGGAGAGCCTGGGTCTGGAGCTGGTGTTGGTGCTGCCTCTGGGGGTGGTGTGCTTGGTGCTTCGGAGGTCGACTCTGGGGCTGCCGCTGCCCCGGACACTACTCCTTCCCCCCACCCCTACCCGACCAGGTTCCAGGCTCGTGTTCGCCGTGCTCGTGAGGAGCAGCTGGAGTTGGAGAGAGAGGAGAGAGAGTTGCAGCGGCTCGAGGAGCAGGAGCGACAGCAGCAGGGGCAGCAGCCGCTGGAGCAGCAGCAGCCGCAGCAGCCGCAGCAGCAGCAGCAGCTGCCGTCTCCTCCTCCTGTCTCGGGTCTTCGGACCCTTGGTCTCCCCTCTCCCTCTCCTTCCTCCTCCCCCTCTCCTCCCGTCTCTGGTCCTCCGCTTCCTCCTCCTGACCCCTCTCCCGCTGTTTTCCCTCGTTCTCAGTCTTCGTTGTCCCCTCCTCCTTCTCAGACTTGGGCCTCTCGTCGCTCCCCTCGTGCTCGTCCCTCGTCTCCTGTTCCCTTCACTGACCTTCGTACTGCCTTACTTCGTTCTAGTCCACCTCGTCCGTCTCCGTCTGTGCTTCCGTCTCCTCCTGAGTCGGCTCTCACTGCGTCGCTCCCTACTCCTGTCACTGACTACTACCGCACGTACCGTCCTCTTCTCTCTCGTGTTCTCGCCTCGCTTGTTACTCACCCTCGTGCCTCTGTGTCCTCTGTGTCCGCTCTTACTGCCGCAGTCACTGACTTTGCCTCTACCCGCCGCCTTGACTTCGCCACCGCTCTTGTGGCTGCTCCTCCTTCCAGTCCTCTGGCCGTCGGGGGTGTGTCTGCCCTTGGCTGTGACGCCCTAGAGGACAGGCAGTTTGAGCTAGAGTTCCTGGCGGCCGCTTCCCCTCATCTCTGTGCCATGCTCCTCGCCCCTGAGGGTGACCCCGACGCCCTTGACATTCCGACTCCTCGCACTTACGCTGAGGCAGTGTCAGGGCCTTGGGCCTCTCAGTGGAGAGCTGCCATGGACGCAGAGATGGCCTCCTACAGATCCACAGGCACCTACGTCGATGAGGTTCCCCCTCCGGGGGCGAACGTAGTCGACGGCATGTGGATCTACAGGGTGAAGCGGCCACCGGGATCTCCTCCGGTCTTCAAGGCGCGCTACGTGGCTAGAGGTTTCAGTCAGCGCGAGGGAGTTGACTTCTTTCAGACCTTCGCGCCCACCCCGAAGATGACCACTCTTCGGGTGTTACTACACGTAGCAGCACAGAGAGACTACGAGTTACACTCCCTCGACTTCTCTACTGCTTTCCTTCAGGGCAGTCTTCACGAGGAGGTCTGGTTGCGTCGTCCCTCTGCCTTCACTGGCTCTTTCCCTCCTGGGACCCAGTGGAGGCTGAGGCGACCGGTTTACGGTCTTCGTCAGGCTCCTCGTGAGTGGCACGACACCCTGCGTTCTACCCTGTCTGACCTTGGGTTCCAGCCGTCTTCTGCTGACCCGTCGCTGTTCGTTCGTCGTGGCCCCACACCTTTCTTTGTTCTGGTCTACGTTGACGACCTTGTTTTCGCCACCCCTGACAGGGTTGCTTTGGCACACGTGAAGTCCGAACTGCAGAAGAGACACACCTGCACTGATCTTGGTGAGCTGCGCCACTACCTTGGCCTGCAGATCACCAGGGACAGAGCTGCTCGCACCATTACACTTTCACAGTCGCACATGGTGCAGCAGGTCCTTCAGCGGTTCGGGCTTCAGCACTCCACAGTACAGCGCACACCTCTTGCTGTTGACCACAGACTCACTGGACCCTTTCCTGACGAGCCGTTCGAGCCTAGTGGTCCCTACGCAGAGCTTGTGGGTTGCCTCATGTACCTGATGACTTGTACTCGCCCGGACCTCGCCTTCCCTCTCAGCGTTCTTGCGCGCTTTGTTGCGCCAGGGAGACACCGTCCTGTTCACTGGACAGCAGCTGTGAGGGTGGCGAAGTACCTAGCGACGACGTCAGGCGTGGGGCTAGTTCTTGGAGGGCAGCAGTCTGTCGTACTTACTGGTCACTGTTGTTTGTGCTCAGACTGTGTGGTGACGTTGTGATCCACCCTGAGCTTCGTTTCTTGGACTGGTCTTGTGACCGTACTCGTTTGGTTCTGCTAGACACCCCTCACTTAGGCTATGGGGGTGTGTCAAATGTTGTAGCCTATAGTGAGGTTTGTCTTAGGGGGTACAAAACTTAGGGTTAGCTATATGTACCCCAACCAACATCAATGCATCATCCATTCTTCATTTTGACATAGGGATACATATATGCAAACCCTAGAAGGGCTGTACTCGCTATAGAGTACCCCACTGCAGGCTAGACAACCATCACATTCTGACAGGAAATACGAGTTTGACCAGTCGTCGCGGTGTCGCATTCCTCCCCCCCCCAGGCCTCACCCTCACCCCCCCAGGCGATGACTGGAGGAGTAGAATCGCTGACGTCGTCAGGTTCATCGCAAGGCTCGCGAATCGTACCCCTTACAAAGTTTTCCCTGCAGTACGACATTTCAAGCGAACCTCGATACACCTCGTAACTTTGCAGGAACAATTAAACTCCACAACATCCCCATTAATCCACCAAGCGTGTGGTGCTCACAAGTTCAGTGAAGCGCTGTGTAAAAGTAACTTAAGTACATGCATTCCCGCTCTGAACGTGACTTCTGTCATGCGCATCTAATCTAATCAACACTGCAATCTGTACAAATGCAACCACCTACATAGCAGCAAACCAGTTTGGGTAATCCCTGTGATCAGCATCCACAAAAAAAGAGCAGTCAGAATTGCTTTGAGTGGTTCAATTTTGTCAGCATTATATCACCCGCACACGAGTCTTTTCAGTCAGTGTAAGGCTAAAGGATCAGCTGCTGCAACAGCTTCAGTCAGTCAGTCGGTCAGTGTGTGTTGAGCATCCACCTGTAAGTGTCAGCCATCTGGCATGTAAAGCATCAACATGCATCCACCACCTGATACGCACAATCCAGCACAGGATGCTGCGTGTATGAGTGTGAGCTGGGCATGTTAGCTCGGAGCGAGTCAGTTTTGAGACGTCTCAACTCAAGGAGTCAGTTCATGAAGGAGCGACAGGTGGCGGCACCGCAGCGACTTTTGAGTCGGCTCAAAATAGCGAGTCAGTTTTGAGATGTTCCCAAGAGTCAGTTCATGAAGGAGCGACAGGTGGCGGCACCGCAGCGGCACGGCACTCTGTCCTTCTCCTCTCGGTCAAACCGGTAGTCGTATCTGGAAAAGGTTAAGGGAAAGGGCGGGCAGAGGGGGTTGGCAGGGATGGGTAAGTATGCATTTGCATGTGCATGTGCATGTGCATGTTGTGCATGTGCATGTGCATGTGCATGTTGTGCATGTGCATGTGCATGTGCATGTTGTGCATGTGCATGTGCATGTGCATGTGCATGTTGTGCATGTGCATGTGCATGTGCATGTTGTGCATGTGCATGTGCATGTGCATGTTGTGCATGTGCATGTGCATGTTGTGCATGTGCGCGAGAGTCAGTTTGTGTGTGTGTGAGTGTGCGGCGCCCCAGCAACTGAGGCATGAATGGTGGACCTTGCAAGCCACAGGCCAATCAGACCATGGTATCAGCTCAGCACACTCACGTTAGCTCCTCTCCCATGCGAATCGGGCGGCGAGCAATGATGACGATGATCGCACTCGGATTGCCATCTTTGTCCTCCACATCAAATATCTTGGCAAAGCAGTTGGGATTGCACTGATGACGGGGAGGGGACGAGGAACGGGGAGGGGACGAGGAACGGGAACGGGAAAAAAGGTGATGGAATGAGTGACAACATTTTGGGCGCCTCAAGAATAGCAAGAATATTCATTCATGCTAGCAAAGAAGCAGAAGAAGATGGCGTGTGGTGTACGTCCAAGCGATTCACCATGGCACAGAGCGGTTCAGCACGGTATATAGCGGTTCAGCAAGCTACAGAATGGTTAATCATGGTACGTACAGAGTGGTTCATCATTCTGGCGTAGTTGCTAGCCATGGTGGCATCCACCACTCTCTCCTCGTCCACCTTGAACAGCTGTGTGTGACAGTTGGGGGCACATCACATCACATCACATCACATCACATCACATCACATCACATCACATGGGATTTGTGACAATGAAGGGGATTTTCTTGCTTGAACAGGTGAGGACATGGTGGCATCCACCACTCGCTCCTCGCCCACCTTGAACAGCTGATGGTGACAGTTGAGAGCACGTCACATGGGGATTGGGAGGATTTGATAAGGTTATTCTGTGAACAGCTGGGGACATTGTCGCATGAACCACTCGCTCCTCGCCCTCCTTGAACAGCTGATGGTGACAGCACAACACACGGCAGCATGGGCATGGGGCACATCACACCACATCACATCACATCACATCACATCACATCACATCACATCACATCACATCACATCACATCACATCACATCACATCACATCACATCACATCACATCACATCACATTACATCACATCACATCATATCACATCACATGGGACTTGTGAGAATGATAAGAGAACTTTTGCTTCAATAGATGAGACCACGGTGGTAATAACCACTTGCTCCTCGTCCACCTTTCAACAGCTGAGGGTTGCATACAAGGTGCCTTGCACGCGCCCGCCTCACATGCACCTTGAGCTCACCCTTCGTTATAGTCACACATTACAGGTCCCTGTCATTATCCCCTTCGTTATACTCACATAGCACAGCTCCCCTTCGTTATACTCACATAGCACAGCTCCCCTTCGTTATACTCACATAGCACAGCTCCCCTCTGTCGCGGTATCGCTTCTCCCTCAGCTCTGCCACACTCCGCCTCAACGCCTCCCCTCGATAGTCCACCACCTGATATAGTCACAACGGGAACAAACAGTGATAGATACTCCTGTGATTCATGAGACTCTGCCTTCTGGCTTGAAATAGCACGCAAAAGCAATTTAAATGATTGCCCACACTCACACAGCTGGCCCCTCACACCGACACACACACCCGTGCACCACACAGACACACATGCACTCACCCACACACACACCCACCCACACTCACACCCACATGCACCCACACGCGCCCCTTCACACCGTCGCCCACGACTCGTCATCTCGCCCTCCTCTATGTCTCTCCGTGCCACCAGCCCTCAGTCGTGGATGGCTGCAAACAGTATAGATGGCCATGAACCACCAGAAGCACACAAACACACACCCACTCACCCGCACACCTGCACACCCACCCTCACGCAGCTGCCAACGACTCACCATCTCGCCCTCTATGTCTCGCCGCGCCACCAGCCCCCAGTCGTGGATGGCTGCAAGGTGTAGGGCCATGGTATATCAGAAGCACACACCCACACTCACCCGCACACCCACGCCCACCCAGCCACCGATGATTCACCATCTCACCCTCCTCTATCTCTCGCCTCGCCACTGGCCCCCAGTCGTGGATGGCAGCAAACAGTACAGTCATGTAAAACCAGACGCACATACTCACACCCACACTCACTCTCTCACACAAACCCATCCACACCCCCACCCAACACACTCCCACTTACCATCTCGCCCTCCTCTATGTCTCGCCGCGCCACCAGTCCCCAGTCATGGATGGCAGCAGCAGAGTACAGACATGATACACACACTCACACACACTCTCTCTCACACACACACTAACACCCACCCACACCTTCGCACTCACCATCTCGCCCTCCTCTATGTCTCGCCGCGCCACCAGCCCCCAGTCATGTATTGCCGACCGCCCAAACGTGACTCTCTGCCACGCAGTGGCCTGTAGGGGGGAGACCAGGGCAGAAAAGGGCAGGGCAGGGCAGGGCAGAGCAGAGCAGAGCAGAGCAGAGCAGAGAAGACAAGGCACATATTTACTCAGACGGGGCAGGGGAAGGAAGGGTAGACAAGGAGGAGCGAGGTGGACAAAGGGGTTTTGAGGTTGAAAGAGCAAACGGGTCTTGCAACCAACCAAGAGTGGCCGACCGCCCTGCAAAAAACTCTTCTACCCACCCTTGCCATTTGCCCCTTGCCCCTTTCCCCTTGCCCCTTGCCCCTTGCCCCTTGCCATTTGCCCCTTGCCCCTTGCCATTTGCCCCTTGCCCCTTGCCCCTTGCCCCTTGCCCCTTGCCCCTCGCCCCTCGCCCCTCGCCCTTTACCCCTAGCGCCTAGCGCCTAGCGCCTAGCCCCGCCCCTTGCCCCATGCAGTGCGGGTGCAGAGCACCTTTCTCATTCCCCCCTTGTGTGTCTCACCCGCACGACTTTCATCCTCTCAGCTCGAGATGTGGCTACGGGCGGTTCCTCTGGGTTCTGAGGGGTGATACGCACGAGGTGGGGGAAGCATGTGACATGGTGGAGAGTTTTTACAAGCGGGACGGGTGACTGGAGGAAAGATCAAGTGAAGAGACGCAGAAAAAAAACAGCCGGGATAAAAGTTCACGGAGACAGACTCCCGAGGTCACAGCCAACTTTTGAAGCGCCTCAAAAGCCAACTTTTGAAGCCAAGATAACCTCAAAAGACAGGCGGGATGAAAGGTCACAGAGAGAGACTTCTGATGTCACTCACAGCCGAGTAATGATAGTACAAACAAACCCACACAGGATAATCAGGCTTAGCTCTTACCACCACAAAGCAGCCCTCAGTACCACACATCATCCCTTTCCACCACACAGCAGCCGTCAGCACCACCACACTCACCCGCAGCTCCATGATGGTCTCCCTGTCGTGCCAGCACACCCCCCCTATCAGATACGGCACCACCTCCTTGTGCCCCCGCCCCCACACCCTCCGCACTCCCTCACTCACTCCCACCTCTCCCTCCTCCCCCCTCCTCCCCATCCCCGCCTCCCTCCTCCCCTCCACTCCGCCCTCAGCCGTACCCCCTGTTTCCTCCTGTCCTGCGCTCTCCGTCCTGCCATCTGCCCTCCCTTCCGCCCTTCCCTCCGCCCTCCTCTCTCCTCTCCGCCATCGCATCCGGCTGTTTCTCCCTTGGTACGGCTGGCAGCGAGACAGCACACCCTCCATCTCACCCTCACCTCCGCCTCTCCCTCCCACTCCTGCTGTTGCTGTCCACCCCCGCTCCCCTGCAGGACTAGCTTTCCTCACCCCTGCATAGGTGTCATCATCCGATAATTCCGGACTGAGAAGCACCATCACATCGCTCTTGGACCCGTCGTCCTCTCCTTCGTCCTCCCCATCCTCCCCCCCCTCCTTCTCCTGCTCCTCCTCAGCTTCGACAATGCCACCACCATCAGCACCATCAACACCATCTTTACCATCACCATCATCAGTGTCACTACCGCCATTCCCATCAGCACTCTCCCCTCGGCCTCTTTTACTCGCTCTCTGAAGACCGCCCATGATCCCCCCAAGCTCCTCCCTTGTTGCCTCTCCACCACCCTGCCCCCTTCTCGTCCCTTCTCCAACCTCTACCCCTTCTGCCTCTTCACTATCTTGGGCCCTGCAACCCACCTTCTGTCTCATTTCTTCCCCACCCTCCATCCCACTGACATTCCCCACCTTCACCTCCTCCCCATCTCCGTCTCCCTCCTCCTCGCCCATTAAAACAACATCACTGCTCGCATTCGAACCAACACCATTCTCACCACCATTTTTACCACCACCATCAACATCACCACCTCCCCTTCCCTTCGTCCTTCCACTCTCCTTCCGCCGCTTCACTTTCTCACCCCTCTCCTCCTCGCCCCGATCCTCCCCTTCCAACTCACCCCCTCTCCCCCTCCCTTTTCCCTTCTCCACACCCCCTCTCTTCCCCTCCCCTCGCCCCTCTCTCCCTTCCTTTCCCTCTCGCCCCTCCCTGCCCTCTCTGTCCTTCTCCCCAGCCGGTCTGAGCGAGTCACTCTTGAGAGTGCCCGCCCCGATGCCAGGGAACCCTGTAATGCCGGTTCGTTTCCTCAGCCTCTCCCCTCGCTCAATCAGCCGCTTGCCGGCAGCTAAGGCTGCTGGGCCAATCACAGCCAGATCAGGATTCGGATCCCTGCAAATGGCGGGGTTAGCAGGGGGGTTTTGAGGTGCTTGCGTCAGTTCTGAGACCTCTCAACAAATGCAAGAGCTGCTGGGCCAATCACAGCAAGGTCGGGATTCGGATCCCTGCGGGTGGCAGGGAAAGAAGGAGGGGTTTGAGGTGCATGAGTCAAATGCGAGAATTCTCAAATGTCAGCGCTGCTGGGCCAATCACAGCAAGGTCGGGATTCGGATCTCAGAGGAAAAGTGCGGAGTTTGGGAGGTGGGAGGGAGGGGGGCGATGCGATGGGGGAAAGGGAGGCAGCAGGAAAGAAAGGGAGGCAGCAGGAAAGAAAGGGAGGCAGCAGGAAAGAAAGGGAGGCAGCAGGAAAGAAAGGGAGGCAGCAGGAAAGAAAGGGAGGCAGCAGGAAAGAAAGGGAGGCAGCAGGAAAGAAAGGGAGGCAGCAGGAAAGAAAGGGAGGCAGCAGGAAAGAAAGGGAGGCAGCAGGAAAAAAAGGGAGGCAGCAGGAAAAAAAGGGAGGCAGCAGGAAAAAAAGGGAGGCAGCAGGAAAGCACTAAACGGAGAAACCACGGAAGGTTGAGAGACAAACGGCCAGCAGACGCTTTAGTTTCGTCATCCAAAGAGTTGGCTGTACCCTGCTCTATGCCTTGTAAGCTGCACACTGCCACACCTGCTGCCATCGTGCTCTATGCCTTGTGGAAGAGGCCACACCTGTGTTTGGGGCAGAAGGTGCAGCGCAGCAGCTGGCCGGTGTCGTCAGGAACCACGTCCATGATCCACCCTCCCTTCATTGCACACACCACGTGGTATGCCACCAGGCATCGAGGGCCGTCGCACTGAATGCACGCGCCGTACGGCTGGCGGCAGATGCAGCACGCCTGAGGAAATGGGTGTGGGTGTGGGTGTGGGGGGGAAGGAGAGGGGGGGAAGGAGAGGGGGGGAAGGAGAGGGGGGGAAGGAGAGGGGGGGAAGGAGAGGGGGGAAGGAGAGGGGGGGAAGGATAGGGGGGGAAGGAGAGAGGGGGAAGGAGAGGGGGGGAAGGGGTGTGTACACGGTACCATCCATGGTCCATGATCCACCCTCCCTTCATTGCACACACCACGTGGTATGCCACCAGGCATCGAGGGCCGTCGCACTGAATGCACGCGCCGTACGGCTGGCGGCAGATGCAGCACGCCTGGGGGAGAAAGGTGCACGGTTGGGGGGGGATCGGGAGGAGAACAAGCCATGAGGAGAACAAGCCATGACACCAGACATCTTTTGAGGCGCCTCAAAAGTCGTTGGGGGGGGGATCGGGAGGAAAACAAGCCATGACACCAGACATCCACCCCGCCTTTGTTTTTTGAGAATTCTCAAAAGACATCCACCCCGCCTTCATGGCACACACCGTATGGTACACCACGAGACACCGCGGGCCATCGCACTCGAAGGATGGGTGTGTCGCGGCGGGGTGGTGGGGGAGGTGTGTAGGGGGAAGGGTGTGTCAGGCAGGCAGAATGGTAGGACAGGCAATGGAGAAGAGCCAGGGACAAACACCAGACAGCAGACGAGCTTGTGTGCTGGACTGCACACAAACAGGGGTCCCTACAATCAGACAGAACCACTAGACACCCTAACAGCACAATAATGCACCACCGCTTCTCACCAGCTTGAACCGCTCTGGATCCACGAGATGGATGCCGTCCAGCACCTCTCCCTCGCCCTCCCCCACCACATCACGCGCCCACCGCTGCCGTGCAACTAACCCCTCCCCACCCTCTCCCCCCCCTGCTCCCCCACCCACTCCCCCTCCCCCTGCTCCAAACCCAGCCCCCCGCCCAGCCGCCCCAAACGCCACTCCCCGCCCACCCCTCCCCCCAGCCACTGCTGCAGCAGCGGCAGCAGCGGCGGCAGCAGCAGCAGCAGCAGCAACAGCAGTAGCACCCGCCGCTGCTGTTTTTCTCCCAGGCGTCTCGCCTTTGCTTCTGCTGTTCCCTGGCAGTGCAAGTCTGATGGTCGTGGGCTTTAAAGCCCCCCCCCGCACAGGGCACAGACAGCACTCCCTCCGAATCTCCTCATCCTCCTCCTCTTCCTCCCTCCGCTCTTGCTCCCCTGCTCTGCTTGCTCCTGCGCCCCCGCCTCGTCCTCTGCCCAGCCCTGAAACGGCTCCCCCTCCCACCCCTGTGCTACCCGAAGCCACTAACGCCATGGCATCAGAGCTTTTCCCCTTACCCTTGCCCTTGCGTTTGCCTTTGCCACCTGCTGCTGTCTGTGCGTCTGTGTCAGCCTCTGTCTTTGCACCAGCAGCCATGCGGTTGCTGGGATTGCTGGGATCAGTGGTGGGGTTTGTTGAGCGGTCGCAGCAGCGGCAGAGCCAAGACATTCCAAACGCAGCGGACGAAACCGAGGCTTTCCCTGCAGCAGCAGCATCAGCATCGGCATCAGCACTAGCACCAGCACCAGCACCACCAGTGCCTTTACCCGGCGACCCTGGGAAGGGTTCGATCCCATAGCACTCCTCATGCACACCCATCTCGCACTTGACACACACCAGCATGCGACTGGCATCCGAGTCCTCATCGCTGTTGCACACCGCACACCTCTCCGACGTCCACTTATACTCCACCCCCTCGTACGGCTCGCTTAAAGCCTTTTCCAGCCATGCAACACCTCCCCTGGGATCCAATGACCCCTTCACACCGCCTCTGCCTCGCATTGCACCCACCCCTACTCCTCCTATTCCTCCTGCGACTGCGCTGCTGCCGCCCGCACTGCGCAGTGTGGATATGATTCCCTGCTGCCGGTTCCCCGGGCGGCTGCGCGGGGGAGGGTCCTCATAGAATTTTCAAGAGGCCTCTCACGCCTGCCTCGTGAGATGCCTGGAGCTGAGGGGAGAGGAGGGGAAACAGCAAGGAGAGGGAGGAGATGAGGAGAAGGGGCCTTGTAGAACGCAAGGCCTTTGACCCCCGCCTCGTGAGATGCCTGGAGCTGAGGGTGATAGAAAAGGAAGCAAGGGTGAAGAGGGAGCGAAGACGAGGGGGTAGATGAGTGAAATGAGGGAGGGAGTGAGAAGGAAATGCCTGGCCGAATCGGAAGTAAGGCCCCACTCAAGTATACAGCAGAAGTTTTGGAAGCTCATAGAAATCGCTTACCCAGGCGAAGAGGGTGGTTTTCTTCTCGGCTCCCTGCAGCAGCACAGATGATTTCCACTTCTTGGACCGGCACTGCGCATGCTTCTCAAACTCACTCAGCGCCATCAGCGCCCCCCCTGCTGCTGCTCCTCCGCCAACTCCTCCTTCTCCCCTTCCACCACCACCAGCAGTGGCAGTGCTAGCGCCACTGCTCTTGCTGCTGCCCCCCTTGGCCTTGGGCCGGCAGGAGCGGCAGCAGCACTGCACGAGGTGACGCGAAGGCAGGTAAACACCCTTGTAGGACGCACATGTGACAGGGACTGGTGGATGGGCTACTGGGATGGGTGGCGCCGCTGCTATCTTGTTGTCCCCTTCCGCTTCCGCCTCAGGTGAGGAGGATGGACTGCCAGGTGAACCTTCAGGTGAATCCTCAGGTGAATCTTCAGGTGAATCGGCCTGCGGGGAATCAGCTCTGTGAGGAGCCTCCTTAGTTGCTACCCCATGCTTCTTCATCCGCTGTGTCTTGATTACCCCATCACCATCATCATCAGCACCATCACCATCATCATCAGCACCATCATCATCACCACCATCACCATCACCACCGCTCAAGTAACCATTCCCATCCACGACTCCCTTCACCTCCTCCACTGCCTTTTCATCCCATTCTTCCTTCACTCTGCCTCCACCACCTCTTCCCCTCCGCCCATGCTTAGCAGCACCATCTGACGCATCCCCACACCCTCCCTCATCCTCATCCCCATCCGCATCCCCATCCCCATCCCCACGCCCATCCCCATCCCTGTCGAGGCGACACACATGCAAGCCCTCCCGCTTCACCTCATCTATCCGCAAGCGCGCACCACCCAAGCTGAACCCCCTCCCCATCCCTGTTATCACCTCCATCCCAGACCGTCCCACTGCCTCCCTCTCTGCATATCTCCCCTCCTCCTTCACCCGAGCAGCACCAGCAGCAGCAGCAGAAGCAGCAGCAGCCTGAGCAGCCTCCTTAACCCTCTTCTCCCTTTCCTCCCGCTCCTTCCTCTCCCTCTCCTCCCTCTCCTCCCTCTCCTCCTTCTCCCTGCCCCTCTTCTCCCTCCGCTCCCTCTTCTCCCTCCGCTCCCTCTTCTCCCTCTCCTCCACCGCCTTCGTCTGGCGACAATTCGGGCACAGGTACACCGCATCGTTCTTAATCGCACTCAACCGCTGCCTGGAGATCCCGTCACACTCCGCATGCACCCACAGCTGGCAGCGGTCACAGTGGGCAAAGTCTCCTTTCTCATTGGGTAACCACACGAGCAGGCAGAGGGGGCAGAACTGCAGCGACTGGAAGAGATTTCGACACTGTATGCAGAGCGGGACTGAGTCTAACAACTCGTCTACCAGCCTATACGCGTAGCTGCTCCCCTCCGCGCTTTCTTCTAGCGTAGCACCTGCACCCGCAGCACCCACAGAGGCCCGAGCAGCAGAAGCACCAGCAGCACGTGCGCCAGTGGTACGGGCACCCGCACAGGCAGCACCAGCACTGTCATCAGCACTGTCTCCATCGCTGTCAGCAGCAGCGGCACTGTCTGCTGCTGCACCAGTGGCATTCCTAGCACCTCTCTTGCCACCCTGACCTGCTTTGCCCTGTCGGCTTGCTCCTATGCTCCTACTCCGCTTCTTACTCATCCCCCACACCCACCCGCCATTCCTCCCCTTCTCTGGCCTCCCCCTCCCCCTGCCCCGTCCCCTCCCCTTCCCGCCGCCCCTCCTCTCCCTTTCTTCCCCCCTGGTCTCCTTTTCCTCCAAACCCTCCCCACCTTGCCCGCTCCCCAAGGCTAGCCTTTTCCTGCTACTGCCCCCACTACCGCCCCTTCCCCTCCGCCTCTTCTTCCCCACCCCCGCATCCCAATCACTCTCCCCAGAAGAGTTCCCTCCGCTGCCCTCCCCCTTCCCTCCGCCACCCCCTCCAGGCGAAAAGAGGTCATCTAGTGTGCGAGTGGGACGACCTATCACCCCAGGCATGACTCGGCACCCCACACACATCATGCCCTCTCCCGCTTTCCCTGCAGAACCTGCCAGTTCCGCTGCTGCTGCCCCTCCCTTCGCTGCCCCCGCCAATCCACCCGGCCGGCTGCCTCCCTTTCGGCAACCAGGAGCAGCACCAGCAAGGGGATTCGCAGCAGAAGCACCACCACCACCAGCAGCACCAGCAGCAGCACCACCAGCAGCAGCACCAGCAGCAACCGCACCGTGATCCTTCCCCTCCTGCCAATCATCCTCACCAGCCCCCGTCATTCCTCCACCTCCTCCTTCCTCTTCCCCTCCCTCTTCTCCTCCCCCTCCCCCGCCTCCCTCCACCTCATCATACCCCACCATCCCTTCACTCTCCAACACAGCCTCCTCCACCGCCTTCCGAAACTCCTTCGGCCGATTCCGCGCTGTCAGCGGCTGATTCTCATACTTCACTAAGTAGTCTAGAAACGGCACGATGCTCCCCTCAGGCACCCACGAGTAGTCCCGGTCGCGCTTTTTGCTAAGCGACGGCCCAAAGAACATGACGCAGAGTCGGTCGGCTTCAGCGGCGCTCCTGACAGCAGCAGGGGCATCATAAATTGGATCAACCACTCGAGCGGGCCACCAGGGGTCTTTCTTTCGCCCTGACTTGGCCCACACTATGTCGCCTGCTTCGAAACTACCCAGGCAGAATAGCAGTGGCTTGGGCTTGGAGGAGAGGAGCATGGGTGTGCCTTGTTCTGGTGTCTCGGTGGGGTCTGAGAATGATGTGTGCTCTGCTACTTCCCTCACTCCTTCTGCTTCTGCTTCTGCTTCTGCTTCTGCTCCTGTTTTTGCTGCTTCTGCTACTTTTGCTGCTTCACCTGCTGCTGCTGCTCCTTCTCCTCCCGATTTTGCTGATGCCTTCGATTTCCGCACTTTACCTGGACGAATGTGAGGAGGTGACGGGGACCTAGATGGTGATGCTTGACTCGGCTCAGAAATTCTTGCTGATGCACTTGATTTCCGTGCTCTGGCAGGGCGAACGTGGGGTGGTGATGGGGACCGGGACGCTGATACTGATGGTGATGCTGGTGCAGATGCAGACGCGGATTTTGATTCTGAGAGCGATTCTACCGGTGATGTTGATGGCGTTGGGGAAGGAGGAGGGGAGAGGGACGGGGATGGAGACAGAGCCACTGGGGTATCAGTCTCAGTAGCTGCTTCACTACCACCACCATCACCACCACCATCACCACCATCAACGCCACTACCACCACCATCACCACTGCCATGCCTTTCCGTTGAATCGGAATCAGCTAGAGCAAGGCAGGACGCAGCAGCCACTGCAGCACCACGCCTATCCTCACCAGCACCACCATCACCACCATCACCATCCCTATCATCTGCCAAGGCATGCACTTCATGATCATCACGAGGAGGAGAAGAATCACTGGCCACATGCCCACCATCATCACCGGGCGAATCACGAGCCTCATGATCCAAAGAACCATCGCTCCCATCACTACCATGACTCCCATCACTACCATCACTACCATCACTACCATCACTCCCATCACTACCATGACTCCCATCTCTCCCATCACTCCCATGACTCCCATCACTACCATGACTCCCATCGCTCCCATCACTCCCATGACTCCCATCACTACCATCACTACCATCACTCCCATCAGAATGAGCATCAGCCGCACCCACAGCCTGTGTAGCTGCGCGCATATCCCTAGCAGCACCCACACCTTTAGGGTCTGCCTGCACTGCTGTAGCAGCAGCGTCAGTGACGGATTGCACTCGCCTCATCAAGGGCCGCACTCTCCTCCTCTTCCTCGCTCCCTCTGCGATTGCCCCACCCCCATCACCTCCTCCTGCTGCCCCTGCAATTGCCTCTCCTCCTCCTGCTGCTTCTGCTGCTTCTGCTGCTTCTGCTCCTCGTGATTCCACCCCCTCCTCCTCATTCTCCTCTCGCACCTCCACCACATCTGCATCTCCGGCTGTCCCTGCCACTGCATTCCCCTCTTCACCTGACTCTGCTGCCTCTCTCCTTGCCTCTGCTAACCCCATCCCCATCGCCACTTCCTGCACATCTGCCTCTCCTGATTCCGCCCCTTGTTCCTCCTTCACCACCGCTTCTGTCAAGTCCACCTCCCTTACTTGCACCTCCCCTCCTTGCGCCTCTCTCGCCTCACTCCCCTCCAAACGACTTGTGCCTTTCAACCCAGCCTCCTCCTCCACCCCTGCTCCCACCCCCTCTGTCTGCACTTCCACAACATCCGCTTCCTCACCTGTCCCTTGTGCCATTCCTTCCTCACCCAATTCCACTGCCTCTCTTCTTGCGTCTTGCAACCCAACCTCCTCCTCCAACCCTGCTCCCACTCCCTCTGTCTGCACCTCCACAACATCCGCTTCCTCACCAGTCTCCTCTAAACCTGCCTTTTCCTCTGCCGCATCTCCACCCACCTTTCCGCCCACCGTCATGTCCAACTCACTATCCACCTTTGCACTACCCGCTCTCTCCCCAGCCATGCCCTCACTGCCATCTCTCCCTTCGCCCACTCCTGCCTTAACTCCCTCATGCACTTGAGTCTCCTCAACAGAAGCTTCCCTCCTCAACCCTTCCTCACCCTTTTCCCGTTTCACTTCCTCTTTCTCTTCCTCAATTTCTTTCTCTTCCCCTTCTTCTTTGACTTCCCCTTCCCTATTCTCTTTCGGTTTCTCTTCCACATCGTCTTCCTGTTTTTCTTCCTCGTCCCCGTCCCCTTCTTCCCTTATATCTCCCACTTCCTCTTTCTCTTCCTCATTCTTCTCCCCTCTCTCCTTCTCCACACCTCTCCCCCTGTGCCTTTTCCTCCTCTTCTTCCTTCCATGCTCCAATTCTAGCATCTCCTCTTGCTCCTCTTCCACCTCCTCTTTCACCTTCTCTTGCACCTCCTCTTGCACCTCCTCTTGCACCTCCTCTTTCACCTCCTCTTTCACCTCCTCCTGCACCTCCTCTTGCACCTCCTTTTTCTCCTCCTTCTCCACCCCCTCCTCTTTCACCTCCTCCTCTGGAACCTCTTTCATCGCTGCTGCATCCTTAGGACCCTCCTCCTCGCCACCCCCCTCAGCCCACCCCTCACTCCCGTCTCTAACCACAACTGCCTCCACATCCCCTTCCTCCTTCCCTCGCACCTCACCACTGCTGTCTTTCCGTCCTGCCTGAGTCTCAGCAACTGTACTCGATTCAACCCCAACACCAGTTTCAACCCCAACACCCGTTTCAACCCCAACACCCGTTTCAACCCCAACACCCGTTTCAACCCCAACACCCGTTTCAACCCCAACACCCATTTCAACCCCAACACCCGTTTCAACCCCAACACCCGTTTCAACCCCAACACCCGTTTCAACCCCAACACCCATTTCAACCTCAACACCCGTTTCAACTCCAACACCCGTTTCAACGTCTGTCCTGTCATGTGCAGACAATCCAGCACCGGCCATCCCACCCTTTCCGCCCAAGTCACTACCAGCCTCCTCCTTTGCCTCCTCCTCTGCCTCCTCTGCCCCCTCCTCTGCCCCATCCTCTGCCTCACCCCCCCCCTCCCCTTTCTCACTCCCTTCCTTCTTTACTTCAACCCCCTTCGCTGATACAACCCCCTTCTCTACCTCACCCCCCTCCTCAGATTCAGCCCCTTTGTCAACTTCAACCCCCTCCCCGTCTGCAGCCCTCTCCTTCTCCTCATTCCCTTCCTCCTCATCCCCCTCCTCCTCCTCCTCTTCTTCCTCCTCTTCCTCCTCCTCTTCCTCCTCCTCCTCCCACGCCCTCGTCCTCCTCTTCCCCCCACGCCTAATCCTTGCCGCCCTTTCACTCCTCGTCCTCCCCTTCTCCTTCTTCCCACTCCTCCCACTCCTCCTACTCCTCCCGCTCCTCCCAGTATCCCCCACTTGAATGCTCCTCCCTGCTTTTTCCGCCTGTTCTCTCGCCCCCACAAAACGCCCCTTCCCCAGCACCACATCCAAAGCAGACAGGGCCAGCACAAGAGACAAACCAGCTGGTCCGTCTAGTGGGGGAGGTAGTACTGGGGAAGGCTGTGCTGAGGGCGGCTGTGCTGTGGGCACCTCCACTGGCGCAGCCTGCACTGCTGCTCCTGCTCCTACTGCCGCTGCAGATTCTTTCATCCCCTGCCCGTTCTCCTTTCCCTCACGGTCTCTCTTTCCCACTGCCTCCACCCTCCTCTCCCTCTCTCCCATCGTCTCTGCCTCTCTGCTCCTCCTGGCACGTACGACTAACCTACCAACCATCTCCCCTTTCGTCCTTCTCTTATACACTCTCGCCCCAGGCACTAGTTCCCTTCCCTCCTCCCTCCACTCCTCCTCTTGCACCTCCTCATCTCTTCTCTCCTCATCTATCCCCTCCTCTTCTTTCCCCTCCTCTTCTCCCACCTCCTCGTCTTTTCCCTCATCTCTCCCCTCTTCACTTCCTCCCTCTTCCATCCCATCACTCCACTTTTCACTTAACTCTTTTGCCTTCCCCTCCTCTCTCTCCTCCCCACTTCTCCCCTCCGCTCTTCTCTCCACTTCCCTCGCATTCACTTCACTGCCTTGCGCTGTCCTCCCCTCCTTATCGCTCTCTGCCATCCCAACATCCCTCTCACTCTCCTTCTCAACTCCCTCCCTTCCCTCCCTTCCCCCGTCCTCATTTTCCCCAACAGGTGATTCAAGAGCGGGAGCTCCACATGGTTCAGGGGCAGCAGGTGGATCAAGAGGAGCAAATAGTTCAGGGGCAGGAGATGGTTCAGGGGCAGGAGATGGTTCAGGGGCAGGAGATGGTTCAGGGGCAGAAGGTGCCTCAGGGGCAGCAGAAGGCTCAGAAGCAGCAGATGCCTCAGGGGCAGGAGATGGCTCCAGGGCAGGAGATGGCTCCAGGGCAGGAGATGGCTCCGGGGCAGGAGATGGCTCCGGGGTTGAAGATTGCTCGGGGGAAGCACAGGACTTCTCTACAGCAGCAAATTCTTCATCAGCCTCCACAAACGCTTCGCTGCGCTTCCGCTTCTTGTCCACTGCCCCAGGCGGTGCTACAGGCACACTTTCTGCCTCTGCAGCAGCGGCAGCAGCAACAGAAGGTGCTGCAGCAGCGGCAGCAGCAACAGAAGGTGCTGCAGCAGCGGCAACAGCAACAGAAGGTGTTGCAGCAGCGGCATCAGCAACAGAAGGTGTGCCATGAGTTTCCATCTCCTGCGCCTTCTTGCCTTCCTTTGTCCTCTGCTCCTGCTCTCGCTCCTGTGCCTCTCCACATTCCTCAATCTCCTGCTGCTCCTCCTTTCCCTCCTGCAGCTGCTGCTCCTCCCGCTCCTGCCCCTGATGTTGCTGTTGCTGCTGCTGCTGCTGCTGCTTCTTATCCCCTTCCACCTGCTGTTGCTCCTGCTGCCGTTCCTCTGCCTTCTCCTGCTTCCACTGCTGTTGCTTCCCGTCCTGCTCTTTCTCCTGTTCCTGCTCCTGCTGCTGCTGCTGCTCCTCCTCCTCCTCCTCCTGCTTCTCAGGCTCCTGCTCCTCCTGCCCCGTCTGCACCTGCTGCTCCTCCTGCTGTTGCTGCGGCAGCAGCGCTATAGCGTTCTTCTCTCCCCCAGACACATCCAACTCCACATTTCCCACCACCTCCTCCTCTCTTTCCTTCTCCTCTTTCCCTTCTTGTCCTGCTACAGTCGCCTCTGCCTCTTCCCTCACCGTGCAAGTTTGATTCGCCTCAGAAACACACACCGCTGCTGGTTCCACCTGCCTCTCCTTGCCCTCCTCAACAGCTGATTCCTTAAGCACTCCAACAACACACTCCTCTACAAATTCCCCTTGCCCTTTCAAAGGAGCCGCAAAAGAAGACTCTGGTACCTCTTCCACCTGCCCCTCCTTGAGCTCCCCAGCATAAGATTCCTTGAGCACCCCAGCAGCACACTTCTCTACTTCTGCCTGCTTGTGTCTCTCGTGTCCGGTGCCCCTCAGGGGCAACTCCAGTGCATCTTTAGGACGCTCTTCCACCTGGTGTGCTGGATGAACCTCACCAACAGACTCCTCTCCCACTTCCGCATTGCAAGGCTCACGCGCGTCACTGCCACTCTCATCTGCCTTCCCCCCCTCCTGCTCCTCACCCTGCACTATCTTCGTCGGCAGCCAGTCAGCCAGCTTCCTCCTCTTGGGCTTCTTTCTCCTCCCAGCTCCTTCGTCACCCCGCACCGCCTCTCTCTTGCCCCTTGTTGCCGTACTCTCGCCACTACCCCTCGCCTGCTGTTGCTCCAACTTCCTGTCTTCAGCACTCAATCTCCGATATCTATCCTCCGTGCCACACACCCAGTCCTCTATATCATCTTCCTCCTCCTCCTCCTCCTCTTCCTCCTCCTCTTCCACCCGTTCACCCCCCTCTGCACGCTGCACTGTGCCAGACCGAACCCCAACCTTTTTCTCCTCATCTGTTAACCCCCTCCCAGCTTCCTTCGCTCCTGCTTCCTCCTTTTTGTCCTGCCGAGACACTGGCACCGGTTCCTTGTCAAGAGCAGTCAGAAGCTTCACCTTCGACTTACCCTCCTCGTGCTCACTGTTCTCCTCAGGCCACTCCTCATCATCCCCACCATACACCTCCCTTCCCAAGTCAGTATCTTTCTCTTCTCTCACAACTTCATCAAACCTCTCATCCGCTCCCACCTCAACACCCTCTTTCCTTTGCTTCTCTGAATCCCTCTGCTGCTCCTGTTTCTCAAGCTCCTTCTGTTGCTCCTGCTTCTTCTCCTGCTCCTGTTTCTCCAGTTCCAAATGCCGCTGTTTCTCCAGCTCCCTCTGCTGCTCCTGTTTTTCCAACTCTCTCTGCCTCTGTTCCTCCAACACTCTCACCTGTTCCTGTTTCTCCAGTTCCAATTGCTGCTGCCTCTCCAACTCCTTCTGCCTTTGTTTCTCTAACTCTCTCTGCTGCTCCAACTCCCTCTGCCTCTGTTCCTCCAACTGCCTTTGCTGCTCCTGTTTCTCCTGTTCCAGTTGCTGCTGTTTCGCCAACTCCAACTGCCTCTGTTTCTCCAGCTCCAACTGTCGTTCTTTCTCCAACTCCCTCTGCCTCCGCTTCTCCAGCTCCCTCTGCTGCTCCAGCTTCCTCTCCTGCTCTTGTTTCTCCAACTCCCTTTGCCTCTGTTCCTCCAACACTCGCTGCTGCTCCAACTTCCACTGCTTCTCCTGTTTCTCAAGCTCCAATTGCCGCTGTATTTCCAACTCTCTCTGCCTCTGTTTCTCCAGTTCCTTCTGCTGCTCCTGTTTCTCCAACTCCCTCTGCCTCTGTTCCTCCAACACCCTCTGCTGCTCCCTTTTCTCCAGTTCCAGTTGCCTCTGTTTCTCCAGCTCCCTCTGCCTCTGTTTCTCCAGTTCCCTCTGCTGCTCTAACTTCCTCTGCTGCTCCCGTTTCTCCAATTCCGAATGCCTCTGTTTCTCCAACTCTTTCTGCCTCTGCTCCTCCAACACCCTCTGCTGCTCCATCGCCCTCTGCTGTTCCAGCTTCCTCTGCTGCTCCCTTTTCTCCAGTTCCAATTGCCTCTGTTTCTCCAAATCCCTCAACCTCTGTTTCTCCAGCTCCCTCTGCCTCTGTTTCTCCAGTTCCCTCTGCTGCTCCAGCTTCCTCTCCTGCTCCTGTTTCTCCAACTCCAACTGCCTCTGTCCCTCCAACCCCCTCCGCTGCTCCAGCTTCCTCTGCTGCTCCCTTTTCTCCTGTTCTAATTGCCGCTGTTTCTCCAGATCCCTCAACCTCTGTTTCTCTAGCTCCTTCTGCTGCTCCTGTTTCTCCAGCCGTTGTTTCTCCAACTCCCTCTGCCTCTGTTTCTCAAGCTCCCTCTGCTGCTCCAACTTCCTCTGCTGCTCCAACTTCCTCTGTTGCTCCTGTTTCTCCAACTCCCTCTGTTTCTCCAACTCCCTCTGCCTCTCCAACCCCCTCTGTTTCTCCAACTCCCTCTCCTGCTCCAGCCTCCTCTGTTGCTCCCGTTCTTCTTGCTCTCGCTCCTGCTGCCCATAATGCTGCCGTGTCTCCTCCATCGCATCCCTTCTACCTTCCCTCCCTTCCATGTGACCTCTCAAACCTACATTCTGTTCCCACGCTGAAAACTGTAGTTGACCACTTTCATGGGAGTCAAACAAAGGACCCTGGCTCGCTCCCGGAACCATAACCCCCTGTCCGTCCAATTTGAACGTGACTCCTTCCATTGGTTCACACTCCGAGCCTTCCAACCCTGAAAACCCTGGGAGGAGAGGAGAGGCCAAACCAAACATCCCAGCTTCCAAACCAGCAGCCTCGGCACCTGCTCCAGTCTCTGCATCCATGCCACCACCCCCTCCCAGAAACATGTTGACCATGAAAACAGCGTCATCCTCGAAAATGTTATTGCCGGACTGAGATTGATTCAGAGCGTCATCCCCGCTATAGAGTTTGAACTCAGAGCCTCCTTCCATGGGATTAACACTGTCCATTCCTGGAAGTTCATTAAAGTTCATGCTAGAACCACCGAAGCCTGTCTGGATAATATCCTGTCCTTGCGGAACCGCCGGAGGGCCTGCAAATGCAAAGGAATCCATGCCTGGTAGCGAGGCGATTTGAGGCTGGTTAAATGGTTCCGCTGGGACAGGCTGCAAGGGGAAGGCATCCGGGTTGGCTTGATAGCTGCTTCCGGGAGGCCTATCACCCAGAAACGGGGATAAAGTGTAACTTCCCGGAACCAAACCACCAACGCCTGGATGTCCAACCGCTTGCATGGTATTCGCCGCGAAATTACTGGAACTTGCTCGAGGTCCTAGTGGGGCATTAACGTTCGACGTTCCTTGGTAGGAAAGATTAAAGTTGCTCTGGCCTCCTGGCCAAGAGCTAGGGTCGGTGGTTCCGTTATTGCCTGCGCTGTTCGCAGCATTCCCAGTGGTACCAGAAAGTGGCATCGTCGTGTCAATTCTCCCATCCCGTTGAACTCTAGGCGGCCTTTGATGCGGTTGATTAAAGCCACGATTCATCGTGCTGTTGCTATTTAGTAGACTACAAAAGCAACATGAGAAAAGACGATGGTGGAACAAACTAGTACACGATAAGAAAACGAAACAATGCTCGCGAAGTAATTTGGCTTCGTGACTGACTCAGATTTAGGTTGCTCGCCTGGATTTCAACAGCTAATAGGCTGACCTTATTTCACGCGGTACTTAACGTGCTGCTGAGGACAGGAAACTAGATTAGGCAAGGTCCTACAGCTCTATTGAGTCGTGAAACTGAAGAGGGATCTCGAGGGAGCCACGACGTTCCCAGAGTTTGTTTAGTTTACGGGAAGGTCGAGTCGAAGCAGGGAGACAAGTGTGATTGAGAGTCGTACCTAGATGTCAGGTCAGGGACTCGGTTCGGGCCCTACAGGTCAGAGAGAAACGTTTGCCCTGGTTGGATGGCGCGGCGGCCCTTTCTGCATGTTGCGTATAACCGAACCAGACTCCGAACCAGTTTGAAGTGTTAATTTTGAAAGTGAAAGCACAGTTGGCACGGAAGCAAGCCGCTAAGGACGTGGGCCCAATCGACTTTGATCGGCACGATAGTGGCGATCAATAAACTCGAGGAAGGCGGGAAGCCAATTTCAGGCAATCGGGGGCCATCAGCTGATCGCGATCAGCTGATCGCTCCAACTCGATCAACCGCCTCAAACAGCCCGATCAATGTCGATCAGACACAATCAGTCCCGATCACTTGATTGCATGTGATCGGGGCCTGAGCGACGTACGCGAAATGTTACACACGTAATTAAAGGTCCCGAAAATCCCTCGCTACCTACATGCTGGCGAGAAGGTTGTAAAGCGGACATTGTGTGCAGTGCGATATTTGCGAGGTTACCACGATACATCGTATTCGCCAGTATCGCCAAAGTTGGAAAGAAACTACCAGGTAATGGAGAAACACGGCGTGGAAAACATTCGAGGAAATTTTGCATTGATCGGGCGGCGCGAGAAAAACAATCAAAAGCAAATCGATTCAATCCGATCCAATCCGATCCGATACGATCCAAGTCGTTTGGGCCCACGTCCTAAGCATATGAGGGCTCCTTCTGAGCGTCGGAGACACCGAGGTCGTGCTGACGAACTCTCACTTTGCCTCATCCAAAAGCAACCCGAACCAAGACTGGTGACTAGGTCAGGTAGTCGGGCTCGGGCAGAATGCCAGAAGCACTTCGCTTGCTTATTCATCTCTGACCAGAACAAACCAATCACCTATCCAGTCAATCTACAGCGAACACAAATTGTATGCTTATGAGGCTGTACTGTAAATGTGTTCAGTCGCATAATGATCAATAACGGGGATCTATCAATTCTCCCCACCGCCATTCTTGTATCGTATATGTGCCTGCATGCATGCCCAGTGTCAAGCTACTTACCTGAAGTTATTTACGAGGTAACCAGGGAACAGCTGCTGCCTAGGAGTGAGGACAATGGACCGCAAGGAGCGTCGTCATGCTTGCTGACGCGTGTGTTGGTTCCCAGGAGCAGCATGCCTGATGGCTGAAGGGTGTTCTCGAGCGTTGTTCGCAACCTGATTTTTCGCCCGAGCCGCGTTCGTCTTCGCCACCAGCAGCTCCTAATGCGGTGCGTGAATATTAATACTCGCTCTTCCACTTCCGTCGTAACTCCCGTGCCTTTTTTCCTGTTTTCCCTCTAGCTGCCTTGTCCTTCCTCTAGCTCCTGCTTTTCCACGAGTCTTTCCTGATGGCTCGCTCTTCCGGATTGGTCGCTTTCGGTCTGCTTGCTCTGTTTCTTCTGACCGCTCCGTTCGTAAGTCCGAGCATAACGTTTGACGACGTAGCCGTCTCGAAGTCTAGCTGTTTGACTGCTCCCTCTGGTCACGCTTCTTCCACATCCGCTCGCTCAATAGTCAACCGTTACACGTCTCCTATGGCTCATGAGTCGTCTCTTCTTTGTTCCAAACCTTATTGAGATTTCACGGAAGGCGAATGGTCTACCTTGGTTGTGTTTGTAAGAGTGATCACGCTTGATTGCCCTGATGTTTCGTGTTTGTCCACGCATCTGAAGCATAGCACCTGATGGTTCCATTGTTCGTGTTCCCTTGCGTACTCGTGGCCAGGCGAGCGCATCATGGCTGCCTGCGGACAGTCTGACATGCGTGCCAGCAACATCAACAGTGATGGAGCGCAGTGAGGGGCGCAGCCGCTGTGCGTACGACAGCCGCCTTGGGTACCGCGCTGTTGGTGTCGGCTACAACCTTGATGACAAGTCGGACGAGCGCAGTCGTGAGATTGCTACTGTTGTTGCTGACTATGAAAAGGTAACTCCTATGCTAGTTAGTTTTTTCCCCGTGTTGATAAACTATGCTGCATTGGTAACGTTCACATGTTTGATGTATCCACTGTTACGCTGCTTTGTCAAATGTTTCACTTCTGTGCGCGTGATGTGCTTTCACTGCCGGCAGCTGTACCGCGGGGAGGAGTGTCTGAATGACGTGCAGATCAACGCACTGCTGGCGTTTGACGCGCGGCGTTACCTGCTGCGCGCCAAGGAGCGCATTGAGAACTTCGACAGCTTCTGCTGCAACGTGCAGTCCATCTTCGCTGATATCGCCTTCACTCACGGTGAGTCTCTCTTGTCGCCAGCGCTGCCAGTCAGCGGATCGTATAACATGGCTTTTATCTGTCATCTAGTCTGCCAGCTGGGCTGCTTCCATATTCTATCACCCCCGCACTCAAAAATACCTGCTGTATCCTCACCTCACGTGTGGCTTCTACTCTTACAGCCAAGACGCGGCTGGGAGCGCAGTTCAGTCCGGCGATAGAGAGGGCGCTGAGCTCGCAGTACAAGGAGGCAGCGGAGGAGCTGAGGCGCTCCAAGTGGTGCCGCAAGCACGAGGCGGTGTGCCGGGCTGACGCCCGGGCCATGGAGGAGGGATGCCCCGCTGCTGCTGTCAGCGGCAGCCGCAAGGTGAGGAGTGCATAGAATTCACGTTTTTGCGAGGAGCAGGGGTGTTGCTTTGGCTGTATGAGGATGGATGGTCAGCTGCTGTCTGTACCTCCTAGTATCTGTGTTCTTCTCTTATTTATTTTCCCAGGTGCTTTTCAAGTCATGGCTGCCTGCGGACAGTCTGACGTGTGTGCCGGCGACAACGACGGTGATGGAGCGCAGTGAGGGGCGCAGCCGCTGTGCGTACGACAGCCGCCTTGGCTACCGCGCCATTGGTGTCGGCTACAACCTTGATGACAAGTCGGACGAGCGTATGCGCGAGATTGCCACCATCCTCGCAGATTACGACAAGGTCAGCAGCTCTACTCTCTCTTCTTGGAACAAACTGGCATGGTTCCTGGTACATACAAGGTGCATTACTAAATTCATGTGTTCCTACCATGGTATTTGCTTTTCTGTTTCCCTTTTATTCGGTTTATGCTTCCCTGGGAGCAGCTGTACAGGGGGGAGGCATGTCTGAATGACCTGCAGATTAACACGCTCCTGGCCTTAGATGCCCGGCGCTACCTGATGCGTGCGGGGGAGAGTGTGAAGGCCCTTGACAACTTCTGCTGCAACGTCCAGGCTGTCTTTGCTGATGTTGCCTTCACCCACGGTGAGTTTGTTTCTTTATGCATGCCTGATTGTGGAGTCTTTTTCAAACATTTTGCCATGTCGTATCCCTGTCTTGCATCCATGTGCCATGTATAAATTCATGTACGCATCATCATGTTCTTGTTTCCACAGGCAAGAGTCGTCTGGGAGCTCAGTTCGAACCAACCATTCAGAAGGCCTCTTCTTTCCAGTGGAGGGAGGCGGCAGAGGAGCTGAGGCAGTCCAAGTGGTGCCGCAAGAACGAGGCAGCTTGTAAGGTGGACACCCAGCAGCTGGAGGAAGGGTGTTCTTCTGTGGGTGATAGCGCTGTGTCTGCATTCCTCCAGGGGCTTAGTGGTTTTATGGCAGCATAGATTGTTTTGGGGCTTGTTTTTGTACAGTAGCCACTGTTGTCCAGTGTTCTGGTAAACCTTTTTTTGCCTGTATACACCTTTGTGGAGGAACTTCGGGCAAAGAGCTTGAATGCAGAAACAATCAACAGGACATACCGTGACGTGACGTTCTGGAAAACATAAGCATCGTCTGCCACCCATCTGATTCCCCAGACTCCCAACATCGAGAAATGTACCCCACCCAGTGTGGCACTGGAGTGACTTTCCCAGGGACTGATTCGCCTTGGGATTTGTGTTCGGTAATCAAGGCGCGTTGCCCATAACTCTCTCCAGCTACCCTTTTCGCGTAATCGCGGCTGAATTGGTGTGGAAACCTGCAAGGGTAGCGATGACTAAGGACCTGAGCAAGTAACTCGCCTCGCAAGAATTGAGAAGCTTGCAAGCGGACTGTTGCTGATTGTAGTCCTGTTCGATTGTAAAATGTACAGTCCCAAGTTCAACAACAAGGATTTGCTAGTGACTTTATTTTTGGCCCAA